TCCAGCCGCTTGCAAACACTGCTGAGAAAGGACAGGGACAGATTAAAGAGGTTCCTTCCCAGCCATAACCTGAGCCCAGCACTCTGTATACCCGGGAGCTGTAACTGGAGGAGCATCCCAGCTCCCTGCACATCCCCAGCCCCACTCCCTGCCTGTGCACTCCAGCAGCTCCACCCCGTACCACAGCTCAGTGCAACGAGCAAAAGCATTTTTCAGACTGCCCTCATTTTCAGGGCGCTGTGTGTACTCCAGAAAGGGATGCTCACTGTCACGTAAGGCAATCAGCACCCAAACCTCTTCAGAGGAAGCCATTTGAGCAAAGCGTTTAACATCATTTCTTGCTGTCAAGCATCCACTGCTTAGCCAGGAGACCATAAAATGCAGCACCAGTTTTGGATTTCTGCTGTTTTAGTGGAGAATCGGGCAGTGACACCCATCTTTTGGGGAAAGCACTTCCCCTGGTCCTGGCAGAGGGCAAATTCCAAACACCATCACTTCCAAACACACATCTGAAAGAAGCACAACTAAAGAGACATTTCAGTTAAGCTACAGCCCTCAGAGGTTTAATATTTCGGAGCAGAGATGTGCTTAAATATCATTGTTATCCTATATACCACCATCTTAATGGGGTCTCAATTGTTCTCAGAGCTCCACCTTGAGAATTCAGTAGGGTCAGGTGTTACCACTCAAGTTTTTGAACTACAGATGAGCATAATCAATTCCAACCTGAATCTGTTGTTAGAAATACGCTAATTAATCTGCAGTTAGAAGCTCTGAGCACAGCCCAGTCAGGTGCTTGAAGCAGAACAGAGAAGCCTCTGAGTGCACACGCAGAACACAGTGAAAGAACATCGTCTACCAGAATCGCTGCCATGAAGGTGCTGGTATCACTGGGGGTAAGAGACATGGAATGGTGAATGAGGGCAAACCCAAAGTCACATTTCCAGGAATCCCACACAGCACAATACAGCACAGCTCCCTACTATCTAACTTCATCAACCTAAAAAGACATAGGACAGCCTGATGCACAACTTAACAGGAAAAACAACACATTCAACAACAAATACGCAAGGAAGGAGAAAAAAACATTTTACTCTGGAAAAAAAAATAGACTGAGAGAAAGTAGGTAAATACTGCTCACATGCAGGCATGGATGAGAAGAGCCAGGCTACAAAGAATCACGGAATGGTTTGGGTTGGAAGGGACCCTCAAAGGCCGCCTGGTGCCGCTCCCTGCAGTGCACAGGGACACCCACAGCTCAGCAGTGCTCACAGCCCCGTCCAGCCTGACCTTGGCTGTCTGCAGGGATGCAGCATCCATCACCTCTCTGGGCATTTCCACAGCTTGCACTCTGGGCTCCTGCACTTGCAAGTATGGAGGCACGGAGCACTTAGATGCACAGCCAGGGATGGCCGTGGAGCCCAGCCAGGAGCATTGTGCCCTGCAGTAAAACACCCCTATTTCCATTACTGCATTTTTGATGGAAGCCTCGTGGTATTTTTCTTCAGCACTGCCTGCCACACATGCAGAAATAGCCTCCTCCACTGCCTGGAAGCTGAGTACACCAAAGCTTCCACGCTGGACAGCTTCAAAGAGTTCGGCGGTGGAGCTCCCATTACCCACAACAGCAGCTGCTAGCTGCAGCATGCAATTACATCGCCAGCAAAGTGATTGATGAAACTTAAACAAGTACATACCACTCCTAATTACAGCATTCCAGCAAGGGTCTCTCCTTCATTACAGGTTTCCAAACAGAGTCTCTTTATTTAATGCTCGTGGTTGCACACACCACTACAGAGGAGCAGACAGTATTCCCCAGAGAAACCAACACAACTCTCTGCACACATCCCATTTCTCAGCAAAGACACAGACTACACGTCCAGCTCTGCAACTCCTATGCAGAAGTATTTACCTCCTGGCTGGGCTTTAGCTGCAGCGGGCTGCAGACTTACAGCTTGTGTTACTTGTAAAGCTTCTGAAGGCTGCTAAAAATCCCTGAACCGTGCACAGCAAATGCATCTTTTGGATATGCAGAGCTCCTGCATTCAAGAAAAGAGTACTGATTTTAAAAAAATAATAATACAAATTTTTAAACTCCTTTCTAAAACTATGATAATAACCCCTAGCCAAGCTAGCACTAAACAGCCCCAAAAAATGTGCCCAAAGGTAATATCAGAAAGGTATTTTGTAAAGTATGTTTTTAAGCAAACCCCTCATCAGGAGCACGTAAAGCCCAGAGCAAACCCTTGGCCCCGACATACGTGGGGTTACAGAGCAGACACTTACAGAGCCTTCCTTACACACCCAGCAGAAACAGCCCAGAACGCAAACAAAGCAATCAGCAAAGCAACATCAACAAACAGCACCTGATAAAGGCGGGTGTCTGCAGGAGGAACGCAGCTCCTTCTGACCTCAGGTGTAACCCAGCACACTGCAACGACCAGCAGAGCCCAACCCAGCCGTTGCCATTGAGCTGAAGGAGCAGAGAGCTGCCCCGGCTCTGGGCAGAGCTGCCTCTCCTCCTCCCATCGCTGGGAACCACAGGAGCTCCTTGGCAGGGGCTCCCCAGCCAGATTGCCGCGCTTATCAACCTGTGCCCAACTGCCTACATGCAAGACAAATGAGCCCAAGCTGCAATCCAGATGGATTACTTTATTTACCAGCCTCTTCCTTGCCATATTCCCCAAGTGTTTGCATTCCATGCAGAACACAACCAGAACGTCGGTGTGTTTTCCAAGGCACAGCCCAGCCAAGTCTCAGCGAAACTGCTGCAGATCGGAAGGCTTGTCCTGCTCACTCACACATCCACTCTGTATTTCCAAAGGAATTCAGTTCACCACAACCTCACAGGATCCCCCACTGCATCCGAGGTTCTTTCCCTGGCCTACTGCACATGGTTCTGGCAGATACCCCAGCATACAGCTGGCACATTCCTTGTCCTTGGACATGTCCGTGCATCCATCCGTCACCACGGCTGGCTTCAGCACGATGCCAGCACCCCACTCCTCTCAATGCTTCCCGCAGCTCCTCCTGGGAAGTTCTCTTCCTCAGCTGCTGTGTGGTGTCATCATGCACCACTGCATTCCACCCTAGCACTGTTCCATCCCAGCATCAGCCGAAATCACTCTTCAGCTCTCTTCCCACTTCACAGGGGCGTTATGAAGTTTAATTAACTGTAAAGCATCGAGATAAGGCACACACACACACAAAAAAAAAAAGGTGCCACAGAAACACAGAGATTCATCCCGTTCCTAGCTTAATCAGAGCCCCAGCACTGCTCACCGCCATCCCCATCAGCCCCACTTATAGCTGGGCTTACTGACTGCAGCACAGGCAGACCCTGCGGGGCCAGGACCGACACCGCAATCACTGCCCGGCACTCATTGCCACCGAGGGTAACCATAGAAAGGGGGAATAGAAGGAAACAAGAGAAAAAAATAAAATCCACAACAAAGAAGGCTTTAGTGTTAAGGAAGTTTTGTTTAAAACACATTAAAGCGAGGCTTGTAGGATTTGAGCACTCAAATCACAAGGGAGTTGTATTGTACCCACAGCACCGCCATCTCAGTTCACACCGGGTGATGCTTCTCGCTATCAGACAACACCAAGTGTACAGGTCAGGCACTGGCACCGTAACTGCAGCATCACACCCTGCGTTTGTTCCTTCCCAGCTGTTGGCACCGCTTCAATAGTCTCACCGGGGTTATTACAGCCCTTACCAGAGCTGCAGATAACAGGAGGATGCTACCAGAGCATCACCTGAGCCTTTAGTTAAAAGCAAACCTTCAAAATGAATTGGAACACAAGCGAAGGAGCGGGGAGCCAGACAGCAAAACAAAGAACGAGCATAGCCCGCCTGCAACGGGGCTGTGCTGTAATTCAGGCTGCAGGGAGCTCCCCGGGTCGCAGATGCGCTCCGCGGTGAGCTGGAAGGAACGTGAATGGGAAAGAAACCACCTGAACACAAAACGCCTTAAGAGCCGCTCAGGCAGCGCTGGGGACAGCGGCACCGGGATGTGCTGCGACCGTATGAGTGTCCCCCCAGCTCCCAACCAGAAGCAGCGACAGCGATGTCAGCTCTGTGCCATAGCTCCCAACCGCCCTCAGTGGGGTTCGGAGACCCCGTCAGCGCTCCCGAAAGCGAAAGGAGCGGAGCACTGAGGAAGAAAAGTGATGACTGCCGCTGGCTGTTCCCGTTCTGAGCACAGCGACGGCAGCGCAGGGATGCACCGAACGGGACAGCCTCGAATCACACCCGGACAGACACTGGGGAGGACGGGGTGAAGCGTGCACGACACACGCATGAATAAAGCTCTTTGTTCACCAGAGCTGCCCGCTCCTTTCTTCCCCCCCCTTTCGGTATCGGCGAAATTCAACAGATTGCTCAATGGCCCTCTTGTTCCTCCCAAACTTGCAGGGCCAACAACGCGAGCTGCTCTCGTCGCACGAGCCACTAAAGGAAGCCTTGTGCGTCTCCAGTGACACACTGCAAATATAAAGTGGCATTAACGAGGGATATTCTATCAAAGCCATCAGACGCGGCTGGCGGTCCCTCCTGCGGCTGTTCGGCTCAGTGCAGGGCGATGCAACAATAGCGGGCGGCACAGAGCGGCACAGAGCGCACCGCCGGGCTCCCACCCGCCAGCAATCACCCCTGAGCCCCCCCCCGCTCCATCCCTCCGCATCCATTCCATCCCGTTCCGTTCCCTCCCGTCGATCTCCCCCCTCCCCCAAAGCAGCACCACGCGCTTCTCCCACGAGAAGCCATGGAAGCTTCCATAGAAGCGCTCGGAAGTTGCACTCGGCTGCCAACAGGTCCGGCGGCGGGGCACCGCTCGTCTCGAAGCCACGCCGACACACGGACATACGAACACACGAGCGGCCGCTGCCATGGAAACCGCGACCCGGCACGCACCGCTCCGCCGACCCCGCGGCACTCCCCGCTCCCACCCCGAAAGCCGCGAGGCGCCCCCTACGGGCGGGGCCGGGCAGCACCGTACCTCTAGGGATGATGGCGGCGGCGGAGAGGAGCAGGAGGAGCAGCGGGAGGAGAGCCGGAGCGCCGCCGCCGTTGGCCGCGGGGCCGCTGTGCTGGGCGCGAGCCGCCATCTCCGGCACCTGCTTCGCTCTGCCCGCCGCGCCGGCACCTAGCGACCGCGCGCCGCGATAATGAGATGCGCGACGTCACGGCGCCGGGGGGGCGGGGCTTGAGCGAAACCACGCCCACTTGCTCCGGAGCCCCGCCCCGCGCTCGGCGCCGCTCGGGATGCGGCGGGACGGGCCGGGGAAGATGGCTGGGGGAGAAGCCGCCGCCGCCGGGATGGTTTTTAATGGAGGGCGGCTCTAAGCGCGGCACCGCCCCGCAGCCCCGCACGGCGCTCCAGCCGCCCGCCCCCCCCTCGCAGAACGCGGCCGCTGGGGGCGGTGCGGAGCCGGGCGGCGGCCGCCAGCAGCGGAGCGGGAGCGGGGCTGCGGAGGGATTTGGAGCAGTTCTATTTACATCGAGTCGATGAACGGCCCTTCTCGCTTCTTTTTAAACCGCACCAAGACAGGAGAGTTGTTCTCTCCGCCTTGATAAATGGGGAGCGGGGCATGGGACCCGTGAGCAGCGCTCATCTGAGAGCTCACCCCAACCAGCAGCATCCCGGCCCCGCACGGACGTCAGTACCTCTGACATTATTAATTAGGTTATCCCACGTGAGCCTGAGGCAGGTGAGGAGTCAGCTTAACCTCATCGTCCCATCCTCCTCCGAGCCCCAGATTGGAAGCGCTCGGGGCCAACGTCGAGTCGCAGTGCAGGTGGCAGAGCTCTCCCCCCTCCCCGTGGCTCCCAGCCCGATTTCACACCTGGGGAAATAACACACACCTCTCTGTGCCCCATATGCTGCAGCCCCATCCATCCCTGGAACATTTCGCCCTATAGGCACAGCAAAGGGTTCCTTCCTTCCTGCCCCAGCAGTGGCACAGATGCACACTTCCAGCCCACCGCGCTCATCACGATTATGTAACTAAGCCAAATTTATCCCCGGTTTATCTTGGGCCACAGTGCTAAATTCCCTCCTCTCCAAAGGACTTTAGTGCTGGTAAACAACTTGGGCTTGAGAGACTGCGGAGCGGCTGCCTTTGCCTCTGTGTCATTAGGCACCAGATTATCCCATTTGTCTATTTTTAATTACACGTTTCCGACTGTTTTGTACAGTATTGTGAGCTGTGACCTACTGCTGCTCAAACACCAAATGGGAAGACAACCCGTATTAAGTAAAAAGGTTTATAGTAATTTAAGTATTCATAGGACGCGGAACAATCAGCAGTAAGAAACACAATTTGCATAATAAATATCAATATCACAACAGCTAAAACAAACCCTGACAGATTATCTGCTGCTAAATGACCAAGAGATTGCAGAATGCCAATTGTGAGTCCTGAACTCTAGGAAATGACTCCTGTATCCTGTGCAGATTGAAGGGGACTTTGGGAGGTTCTAAGCCTGGCTGTGTTCCTGCTGGAAACGTCTTATTGCATTCCATTATGCATCAACTTTAATTTCAAGAGGAAAGTGATTTCCTCTGTCCGGGAAGCTTAGCCTCAGATTATTTGTCACAGTGTGTTTAGCAGTTATGATATTGAAGCGTGAGCCCCATTGGCAGTGATTGAAAGCTGTATTAAATCAGCGATGGCTCAAGTTATAGGCAGGCTGAGACAGCGGCTGGCTCAGAGGGGAGCGTGGCAGGAGCAGGGGAAGGGGAGAGGAGAGAAAGGTCTGATGAAGGCTGACCTGACCCACAACTGTAGCTGATATAATTGTTGGCATTACATGACAAGGTTGCTCCCAAAGTGACACATCCCACTGACAAGCAGCCACTCATTGCTGAGACTTGCGGTGACCCGGCTCTCATGGGAAGCAGCCAGGAGGCACAGAGTGATGGAAAAACCACTCTGCTCCTGCTCTGGGAGTGGGGCTGTGCTCAGGCTGTGTCCTTGGTGGCCCTCAGAGTCCTCAGCAACGCCTGGCAGTGGGGAAAAGCACCCAGCACCCATTCCCACAGCACCGAGCAATGGGAGACAGGCCCCAAACTGAAGATGTAGAGAAACACGTGAGAGATGGCATTTTCCAACCTTGGATCTGCTCCACGGGGGCTACAAACAGCAGGAATTTCACGCAGAAACCTTTTGTGGGCCACTTGTGGCAATCCTTCAGACTCGTTGCTCTGCACATCTCAAAGACCAGATGGTGTTTTTGCATGTTAAAACTGATAATCAATTGTTTTGTTAATTCAGTTTTCCAGTCAAGAAGAGAAATAAAAATGGCAATTGCAATTTGTGGCACGTAGTCCTAGAGAAAAAGCCTGTTACAGTCAGAAAGATGAATGTGGTGGAAAAGCAGTGCAGGAGCCTGACAGCAATGGGGCTGTTGCAAATGGAATGGTGTTACGAAGGAACAGCACTCACCTGGCTCTGAAGATCTAGGCCCACAGCCAGGACTCTACAAGGGAGGGATCTCCACCCAAAGGTCTTTCCCCAATGGCAGTCAGCCCTTAAATGAAGTCTAAGAGAGGTGCAGCCAGGCTCCATCCCTCTCAGTCATGAATTGCCTTCACCTGTGCTCTCAGGGCTGACCCAGTCCTTTCCCCAGGTGCTCAAGCAGTGGTTCAGGCAAAGACTCAACCATTTCCATACAGAGCCAAAACAAAAACCGAACCAAATGGGAATGGAGAGAACCAGAAACTTCAGCTGTATGTTACTTGCTTATGAGAAAAGCTTTGGACCCAACACTGGGCAATATGTTTTGAGGGACTTAGGTGACAGTTAGTTGCAAAAGCTGCTGGGTGACTGCTGGATGACAGAAATTGCTTCCAGCCATCAGGCTGAAGATGGAACCAGCTCCTATGCAAGTCACTGCCAACCCTCTGTGGCTGCTGCTGGGAATTGGGCTAGAGGGTGCAACTTCACCTGATTTCCAGCCCAAGAACCTGGTGTTAATTACGCCCATCTCAGGTGAGATGTCACCACCATGACCAGTTATTTGGTTTGACACAGGCTGAGGAACCAAGATCTCTCTCTGGCCAAAATGGCTTTCCATCTCATCCTCTCACTTTGCCAGTCACTTACTGTATGAGTCTAAGAAGGGAAAAGATAACCTAAAAAAGCCCAAGTTTTCTGCTCTAGAAAACAGAGATAATGCACAATGTGTTTAACTTCTGCAGGTACTGTGGGACTTTCCATTCTTACACAGCTCTTTGAGTCTCAGATTAAAGGTGCTATAGAGACTGAGAGACCAAAAAGATTTCTCTACAAATGGCAGTGTTTGTTCACTCCATATATTCTGTCAAGAGAAATAAAACAGTTGTCGATCTTGTGAAAAGCGCCGGCTCTGAAATGTTCAAAGAACTGCATGGAATTTTAGCGACACAATTCACATTAAAGCCGGCATGGGGCTAAATCCTGTGTACCTCTTTGAGAATTTAGGAGTTTGTCAAAAGGAATCCAGGGAAGGAATAATCAAGTTATAGCATTTCGGATTTAGCAGCTCCTTGGAAGGAAGTGCTGCGTGCTTCCTTGGCTGAGCTCCCTGCTGGGGCCTCCCCACATCTCCCTTCACCTGTCCTATCTGAGGAACTGCGTGCTATGCTTGAGGATAGGAAGAAATGCAAAGCTTAATTTCTGCTCTTCCATACACTGTGACAAAGTTATCCTTTGCTCTGCACTCTCCTTATATAAACTCAGCGCTTTTGTTACAGTACAAACATCTCCCACTGTATTTGATTTATCTGGTGTCCATTATGATGAATGACAGATTGGCTCAGAACTTTTGGGGGTGCAAAAACTAAAAGACAAAGCTGGACCACTGCTTGCCATCACCACTGGGGAAACACAAACAGTGCAACACCAGACGGCTGTGCTGGCATTCAGCAAAGCCTGGAACAACTGGAGAGGAACCTGGGGAGGTTCAACGAAGGCAAGTGTAAGGTCCTGCATGTGGGGAGGAATTACTGCATGGGTCAGTATAGGCTGGGAGCTGACCTGCTGAAGAGGAGCTCTGCACAGAAGGATCTGGGTGTCCCGGTGGCCAACAGGTTGGTCATGAGCAGCAGCATGCCCTGAAGGCCAAGAAAGACAATGGTACCCCAGAGTGCTTTAAAGAGTGTGGCTAGCATGGCGAGGAAGGTGATCCTCCTCTCTGCCCTGCACCTTTGAGGCCACATCTGGAGCACTGTGTCCAGTTCTGGGCTCCCCAGTTCAAAGAAGACAGAGATCTCCTAGAAAGAGTGCAGCAGAGGGCCATAAAGATGATGAAGGGCCTGGAGCATCTCCCATGTGAGGGAAGACTGGGAGCCCTGGGATTCAGTCTGGGGGAGAGAGGGCTGAGAGGGCATCTCAGCACTGTTTGTAGATATCTACAGGGAGTCAAGTCGTTGGGGCTGGGCTTTTTTTGCTGGTGTGCAGCAACAGGATACGAGGCAACGGGCAGAAACTGGAACACAGGGAGTTCCATATGAACACAAAGAAGAGCATCTTTACTGTCAGAGTGATGGAGCACTGGAACGGAGGGATGGGGAAACTTCCTTCACTGGAGATACTCAAGACCTGTGTGACCTATTGTAGGTTCCCTGCTTTAGCAGGGGTTGGACTCAATGGTCTCCAGGGATCCCCTCCAGCCCCTACAATTCCATGATTCTGCCACCCCAGCGCTCACAGCATCTCAGCAGCAGCCAACGTGGCCCCATGCCGTGTTTGTGGGTGGGCTGGAGAGCCTTGCCTTATCACAAGGAAGGGAACAGCAGCACCACTTCTGCTAACATGTAGTCACTGCAGTAGCATGCACTCCCTGCATGTTTCTGGGCAGCCTACATATGTCTCTACATTGAAAAGACGGCACATTTCAACATGGTTCAGAAACCACCAGCGCCAACCCAATCAAGGAAAGCATCATTTATACAGCCGTATCGTGTGCTGACTTTAATTCCCTGGTGACAAACACTGCGGGCACACAAAGACCTCTCACACTCGCTGGGAGCAATAATACAGTCATTGTGAAGCCCGTTTGCTCGGCCTCCACTGTAAATAAGATATTTTCATTTATAATGGACAACTTTTTCTTCGACACCTAC